AAGAACTAGTGCTGCTTGCTAGTAGTGGTAGTAGCACACAAGAAGAACACAGAAGCAACACAATAGCACCAGCAACGAGATCGGGGCCTCATGATTCGCCAGCTTGCAAAAAAGGAGCTCAACTGTGGTCGCGTTTTTGTCCTGTTGTTTGTTGGGTGCAAGAGGGAGGAGAACAACACACATGGTGTGGTGCGAGCATGTTGTTGTATGATGATGTGCGACTGCAGGCGTTCTGGTTTGTAATGATGATGGGGCTGCCCGTCCTGATTTGGGGGGTGGATGTACTACTTGTTGTTGTAGCCACCACCAGGAACCAGAAGAATGTGTGATTATTGAGTGATTGAAGGCCTTTACCGGCTGGTAATAATAATGATGATAGGACTGTTCGTCGTGAATTGGGGGTGGCTCTACTACTTGTTGTAGCCACAACCAGGAAGCAGAAGAATGTGCGACAGCCCTCTACCGGCTTACAATCATATAGGACTGTTCCTCGTGAGTTGTTGGTTGTGGCTGCAACAAGAAAGAAGAAGAGACCCCTGAACCCCTAAACCCTAAACCCGAACAGGGACAGAGCAGAAGATAGATAAATTTCTCAAAACCCCAACAAAACCCGAACCCTAATAAACCTCATCAAGATGGCGAAGCGGAGCAGATGTGACCCCTCGATCACCCCCGAGTCGGTGGGGGCCAAGATCCAGGACTACTTTCGCAAAATGAACTCGAGGGATGCGGCCAAATTGTTCCTACCGCCGGCGACGGTCCACTGGAAATCTGCGACACCTGTGGCTTGGTTGGTGCGATTGGAGACCCTCTACATCGGGCTCCTTCGGGTCGCCCCCACCGGCGTTTTGACCTCGCGGAAAGTCAAGGCAGCATTGGAGATGCTGCATGCAAAGGAGAGCATCAACATGTCCAAGTACGAGGACTCCTGTTTGATGGACAAACTGGATGATGCCATTCGGATGGGATTGGCACACCTGAGGGGCATGAAGGCGGACAAGGCCGTTTTGGACCGAGCCCAACGACGATCAGCCGACTGCGACATGCGAGTTATCATGTCCCTGCTGGACATGCTTCTTGCTGCTGCAATTTTACAGTCCTGTGCAAAACACCAAACCTCCAAGAACATAAACAAACCCTTTTGTATGTATAATAACCCTGTTTTTGTCACCCAAGAACTACCTACACTGCTCCTAATAATAGCCCTAATAAGCCCTAAACCCTCAGACCTAAACCCGAAACCATAATAACCCCGAAACCCTAGTAGTGACATTACGAAGAAACGGCTCTTCGGCATAACAGAAAAACGGTTCTTTGTCCTCCTTCTTATTATTACTATTTCTATTCATCAACAACATGCTCAAACATGCTGCTGCTTTGAGAGTTTCTGGAGGGATACCTTTGAGAGACAATACTTCGTGAGGGATACTTCGAGTTTTTGGAGGGATGCCTTTGAGAGACAGTTCGTGAGGGATACTTCGAGTAGTTTGCCAGTGCGAGCTATAATTTGCCCTGCTTCATCATCATCAGCATCCTCAAGACTCATCAAGACTCTTCTTTTTTTCTCATTTAAAGAAGAATGGTGAGCTGAGGTTGAATCCTGCTGCTGCTGGTGGCGGCACGGAGGAGGGAGCGACAGCAAGCAATCATCCTCTGGTGAGCCAAACTTCATTTGGTAGCAGTGGAGGCAGCAGCAATGCCACCACTCTTGTTCTTGGTGGTGGTGATGATGACGAGCCCAGCAAGAAGAAGAATGAAGGGCCGACAACGACGACGAGGACGAGGAGCCCCGAGGAGGTCTTCAGCAATGTGCTGGCGACAGTTGGAGTGGACTCCGAGGAAGAAGAAGATGAGGAAGATCGATTGACGATGCAAAGCGTGAGCTCGGATGGAAGCTTCGCAGTTCCGGGCTTGAAGGTGCTCCTGCCCAAGTGGCAGAAGAAGAAGAAGAATGCGGAGGAGGTGCTGCACTCCTCCCCGGCAGCTAGTACTGATGATGCTCCATTGGAGCATGATTTTGGTGATGAGGATGATGAGGATGATTGCCGTGGCCATCCTCCTACTTGCGATGACGAGGACGACGGCCGTGGTGGCCTGCGTCCTTCTTCGTCCAGTTCGAAGAAGAAGAAGAAGCCACAGCAGCCTGCCGAGGTTGCTGTGGCCAGGCCGAAGAAGAAGAAGAACCAGCAGCCTGCTGCCGACGAGCCTTCTTCTTCTGTGGCCAGGACAAAGAAGAAGGAACAGCAGCCAGGCGGCGAGCCTGATGTTGGTGCTACGAAGAAGAAGGACCCGAAGCCCTCGAAGAAGAAGCAGAAGGAGGCCATCCGTTGTTTTCGCTTGCTTTTTGCAGAGCAAATAATTCGAATAATACAATAATAATAGTAGTAGTAACACTGCTGCGAGAGAAGCAAGTAGTAGAGTGGAGAAGAAGCAGAAGCAGAAGAAGAGGTAGAAGAAGAGAAAGAAGAACCAGAAGATACAAGTTTGTTGTTCGTACTCAGAGGGATGCTAAGCTACTGGAGCGCCACTGTTGTTCTTCTTCATCTTCTACGAAGGAGGCATGCGACCGTGACAACGACAACAAGAAGAATGCCACAAAGGGCAAGGGTGCCAAGAACAACGAGCAGCAGGACGAAGAGCAGATTTTGGACATGGTTCGTGCAGCGAAGCCGGTGAACGAGGAGGAGAGCCTCCGGAAGCTCTACAACGTGAACAAGAAGCCTGCTGCTGCCAAAAAAACGGTGGCAGAAGCGGCTGGCTCCAGCACTGACAAGAAGAAGAACAAGACCCCCCAGAAGAAGCCCGAGACTAAGAAGGCAAAGCAAGAAGTCCAGAAGAATGTGGAGGCTTCTTCTTCTGCCGGCGACGAAGCTGCTGCTCGTGGTGCTGCAAGCGACGACGGTGCCTCGAAGAAGCGACCGGCAGCAGCCTGTGGTGGTAGTCCGGAAAACAGCAACAAGGCTGGTGCAACAGCCACGAAGAAGACGACGAAGAGCCAGAAGAAGGTTTCCAGCATGCATGTGTTGTTTCCGAGATTTCGGGTTGTTGGCAATGTATTTTCGTTGGTCCAAGCACATAATAACCTTACCACATGGCTTGTAGTACGACGACTAGTATTATGCAAAGAAAACAAGGCCCGAACCATCATCGTACTTCTTCATGTAGCAGTACTGCTAATAATTGTATAACGAACAACCCTAATAATGAACCCTAATAAGCCCTAATTTAAACCCGAAACCCTAAACCCTAAACCCTCAACCCTAAACCCTAATAAACCCCAAAAAGACAATAACAATTATTGAAGAAGAGTACCGTACCAACACAAATGATGAAAACGAGGCTGGAGCTGCTGACACTGACACGACGGGCAGTGGCGGTGATGATGGTGGGGCAATCAAGATGGTGGATGATGATGGTGGTGGTGGGTGCCACGAGCATGGCGTCCACAAGGACGACGAGGGCGAGTGGGGGGAGGAGGAGCACCCTGTCGAGTCCGACCCATGCGTGAAGCTCGATGACGATGGAGTATTGGCCAACAAGCACCACGACGACAACAATGCCATCACAAAGGAGGAGTGCGATGATGATGAGGATGATGATGATGAGGGCCAAAGGCCCACTCGCACCGTTTTGCGACACCGAGTCGTGTCGGGGGCATACAGGCGAACTTTCAACAAGTGGCGGCCTAAAGGCCCGGACAAGGACAGCAAGTCCGGCAAGGCCATTTTGAAGAAGGCCAGAGCCAAAGCAAAGGCGGCATACAGGGCTGCCGGCCAGTCCTTCGATGCCAAGTATCCTCGTCGCCCGTAGTCGGATAAAAAGGTAGTCGTAGCCAGTGCTGGTGATGTTGTGTTCGCAGAAGTCGGACTTGTAGTAATACTAGTAATAGTCGTAGTAGCAGTAGTAGTAGTAGTAGTAGAAGCAGTTTTCCTTTGTTCTGTAGTGTCAACTCCTAGACAACAGCAAGGAAGAAGAAGCAAGGCACGGCGACGAGGATTAAGCAAGGGCACGGCACGAGAAACCGAGGAAAGCCAGCCCCCTGCACAGCCGAAAAAGAGCCAGTGCGTTGTTGCAGCATGATGATGACGATGATGAGTGTTGTTGTTGTTGTGCAGCAGCAGCCAGCAGTTTGTTCTGTGAGCATTCGTAGAGAGAGAGAAAGAGGGAAAGAGGATAGAGGGAAAGAGAGAGAGAAAAAGAGAGAGAGGGAACCACAAACCATTTCTAAATGAAAAGCCCTTAACCCCTGCTGGTCCCCTGCCCCCCCCCCCAACCCCAACCCCAAACCCCTAAACACCCGACCGATTAGGTTCGAAATCTATTCGTTTTTTCTTCTACATTTCGAGTTGGGCAAAAGATTTTTGCATTGTTTTTCTTTCAAAATTCGAGTTTGGTCAACGATTTTTTACAGATTTTTTTTAAATTTACCTCGAAGTTTGGTCGAAGTTTCTTCGAAGTTTCGAGTTGGCAACTCGAAGTTTGGTCGAAGTTTACTCGAAACTTCGAGTTACACAAGTCGAAGTTTAGTCGAAGTTTACTCGAAGTTTACTCGAAGTTTAATGGCTCCCAACTCGAAGTTTCGAGTTGCGATGTGCAAAAACCCTGGGTTTTTTAACGTTTCGGTTTTGAAACTTCGAGTTGTCGATTCGAAACTTCGAGTAGCAACATTGAAACTTCGAGTAAACTTCGAGGAAACTTCGAGTAAACTTCGAGTAAACTTCGAGGAAACTTCGAGGAAACTTCGAAGAAGTTTCGAGTAAACTTCGAGTTACCGACTCGAAATTTCGAAGAAGTTTCGAGTAAACTGCGGGCTCCGAAACGTCTTTTTTCGTGCATGTTTTGGCGTTCTGTGGTGCATTCCATGAGAGCTGCTAGCGACAGAAGAAGAATCTTGCACCACTTTAAACCATACCGGCACCTGTTCTTTGTGGACAGGAAGAGGATCGTGGTGCCAGCCCGGCCATCAGACAGCCCCCTTGTTGTGCGCCGTCGTGGACAGCATGGTGGCATCGAAGAAGCGACCAGCAGCAGCAGCTGCCGTGAAGAGTGATGATGTCGGGAAGAAGAATGGTGGCAGCGAGCAGCCAAAGAAGAAGTCCCTCAAGCAGGCGGTTGAGGACGTCAAGGAGGGGATGAAGCAGTGGGTGGAGGAGGACCGAAACGAGGAGGGGTTGGTCACAAGCGAGCACAGAGACAAGGGGAAAGCAGAGAAAATGAAAGCGATGAGAAAGGCCGGGGCCTTGCCACCCTACATCGTCGATTTATACGACCGGCAAGCGGAGTCGAAAGAATCCCCACGTCGATTCCGAACGATGCTGGTGAACTCTTTGTTTACCCGGACAAAGAGTGGCAAGTACTGCCTCGACGACAAGGCCCCGATGTTCCAGGAGGCCCGCACCGTCTACCAAAAGAAGTATGGGTGCGATGGCACGGAGTCGTACACCCGTCTGGTCATGCAGGGATTGTTTTTTCAAAACAATCCGGAGGCCACTTGGTGAAAAGCAACAACAATGTTTTTTGTTCCTTAGTTGTTTATTTTGTATTTGAATGTACATCTACATTTAAATATACATGTTAGCATTCTTCTTCACACAAAACTACATAGGCATATGAATATATACATAGATATAGCTATAGACAGAGAAAGATATGATTGCTATAAATCCAAATATAAATGTATATCTGGATATAGATATAATAAATATAATAAACATCAGTATCAACGAAAATATTCATATTATGAACACAAATACACATGTTAGAAGTATTAATTCTGATGTAAATACAAATAGAACTATACATGTAAGTATGAATATTAACATAAGTATAAGTATAAATATACATAGACATATAAATATAAACATAAATATATAAAATAGTTTAATATCTGTAATAAATAAAAAAAAGATACCTACACAGATTCCTCACTGAGAAATTATTGGAGAGATTCCTTGAGGGTTCCTTGAGATGTTCCTGGAGAGATTTCTTGAGGGATTCCCTGATGAGAGTGTTGCTAAAGAAGAAGACACGTGCCGAGGCCATGGAGAAGGCCATCCAGGCCAAGGAAGTCATTGTCACCAAGGACGAGGAAGATGGAACGGAGTTTTTTTCGTTTCGCAAACGGACATCGGGGACAGAGAGGGGAAGCCACAGTGCCCTGACCATCACGAGAGAGAAGAAGGGCAAGCAAGACCAAGCCCTGGAGCTGGAGGATCTCTTCGGCAAGCTCGAGTGGAGCTACGACTTCAAGAAGGGCGACGAGAAGAAGATCGTTCAGGGCGAGAAGATCCCGCCAAGCATGAGCAAGCTGCTCGACCAGGCTGCTGCGGCCCAAGTCCGGCTCGCTGGAGAGAGCATGAAAGTGCTGAAGAAGCAACTCTGCTCATGCATCAAGAATCATCACTGTTTTTCGTTTGTGAAGTTGTAGCAGAAAGTCACTCCTCCTCCACTCTCATAGTAGTGTCCCTCAAAGTCTCATCCCTCCAAGCGAAAAGAAAAGCATCCCTGAAAGCATTGCCTCTAAGCAAAAAAATCGACAGCATCCCTCAAAGCATGCCCTCTAAGTAAAACCGACAGCATCCCTCAAAGCATTCCCTCAAAGCATGCCCTCTAAGTAAAACCGACAGCATCCCTCAAAGCATTCCCTCAAAGCATGCCCTCTAAGTAAAACCGACAGCATCCCTCAAAGCATTCCCTCAAAGCATGCCCTCTAAGTAAAACCGACAGCATCCCTCAAAGCATTCCCTCAAAGCATGCCCTCTAAGTAAAACCGACAGCATCCCTCAAAGCATTCCCTCAAAGCATGCCCTCTAAGTAAAACCGACAGCATCCCTCAAAGCATTCCCTCAAAGCATTCCCTCTAAGAAGAAGAAGAATAATAATGAATAATAAAACAAATAATGGTTTGAACCAAGAATAGCAGGACGAATAGTTCAACAAGAGACACAACCACAACTGACTAGTACAGTAGTGTGCTGGAGAACTAAAAAATCACACGAGAACAGAAGAATGAGCAGTCATGAATTAATAGTGCAGATAGATGGAATCGGTGGATTTGCTGAAATGATATTATGAACAACATTACCAATAAAAATATCGGCAGTCGTATATCGAATTTTCCGAGAACAACAACAACAAAAGCACAAGGCTCCCCGAGAACTCCGAGAAGTGGAACGGGCTGAAGCAGGAGACGGTGGCGTGCCAGAAGCTCCTGGCCGATGTTCGCCACATCATCTCGTGGAAAGAAATGCCAAACGGCAACGAGATCACGAAGGAGAACTTCGATGCTTTCATGACTGACGTGGCAGCCAAGACGGTTGCCCACAGCGAGAAGCTGGCTCTTTCTAAAAAGAAAGACTGATCCTCCAGTGTTATCTTTTGTTGTTGTTCTGTCGGCACATCATCACAGTGAATAGTAGCAGCGGTAATCATAATCCTCGTCGTCTAGTACTAGCCAGCATCAAGAGCAAGTCGTGCACGTCGTTGTTGCTTATTATGTGTGATGACTGTTGTGGACAGCAGCAGCAGTAGGGGATGATGGCTGTTTCAGTGCACGTGAGCCTGCATTAGGGACAGCTGGGTAGGAGCACCAGCCCTGCCGGCTCGGTGGGATGATGCATCATCGCTGCCTCTGTGCATTTTGGGTTCACCTGCGGCGACAACACCTGTCATGTTGTTTGCGAAAGGTTGGTGCGAAAACTTTCCAGAAGCAGCAGGAGCCCACCAGAGTCAGGGTTGAGGCTTGTTTAAGGGCATTATTCTTCTTATTCTTATTGTTATCATTATTTAGTTTGATTATTCGTATTCTTATTGTTATTCTTATTATTCGCATCTACGAATACTGCTTGTAGATGGGCCGTTCTTGTTGTAGAGTCTTCGAGAGCTGTCGTCACCCAAGCACGACCTAGTAGTATAATACTGATAATGACAACCCTATTAAACCCGAAACCCTGGAACCGAAACCCTAGTAAACCCTAAACCCTATTAAACCTAATAAGTCACATCACGAAGAAAAGACTCATCATCATAATAATACACAACTGGTTCTTTGTCATCCTTATTATTGATATTATTGTTGATGAAAGGGGCATTTATTCTTATTTTTATGCATCAAGAACATGCTCAAACAGGCCTGATGAGCGGGACAGTTCGTGAGGGATACTTCGAGTTGGCCAGTGCGAGCTACAATTTGGAGTTCTTCCTGCAGCATACTCATTTCATCATCACCATCATCATCATCAGGGGAAGAAGAATGCTGCAGTCAGCTCAACAAGACTTGATGATGTGTTGTTACGAGAAAAGCAACAACATGGCAACAGCAAAAATCAGCAACACCAGCAAAAAGCACCCACCCCCCAAACCCTCAGAAGTTCAAGAATATGAGAACCCCCAGCCTTCACGGCCAAAAAAGAACCCGCATCATTATAAATAGTCATAATAATCATAAGAATCATCGCCACCATCTGAAGAACCCCCCCCGGGCCCTTTACCTTTTCTTTCCATCGGTGCATGGATCCTGTGGCTCCTGAAGAATTGTAAGTTCCGGAAACTGCTCAGTCCCTTTCCTCCACCACCAGCACCAGCACAGCCAGCTGGTTGGGCCGGGAGCAGTTGGTTTTGCGGCGAGGTTTCCGATTCCTTTTGGGTTTTTGCAACACGTTAACAGATCGCTTGGAGCAATTGGAACGAGCAGAACTTGTGCGACGTGCTTTCGCTGTTTGGTGTGGCTCCTTGCGACATTAATTCCACTTGCCTGCGACCCTTCCTGGCGAGCCTTCCTCCTGGCGAGCCTTCTTCGTCCTGCTCATGCTGAGCATTTTCTGCTTCTGCTTTATTCTAATGGTTCGTGGTGGCCCTGTTTTGGGGAAGAGGAAAGAAGGCAGTACTAGTGGTGGTGCTGTCGGAAGTCCAGGCAAGAAGGCACGAAAAAAAGGCGGCCTTCAGCAGAGGCTTCGCAATGCTCCTGTATTTGAGGACGGCGATGATCATGATGATGATGATGATGATGATGATGAAGACACGGAGGAGCCAGCAGAACGGCACCACCACCATGGCAAGCCGAGCATGTTGGCGAGGAAGCTGCTGGAGCTGTTCGCTTGGGGAGACATGTCCCCCCAGCTTGTGCAAAGCTTGGCAGAGGCTGGACTGAAAGACAGCCTAAGTGCCTTGGAAGAGCATGGCCTGCACAACAGCACCTCTTCTTCGTCCCGGGAGGGCCAGGTTTTGGCCCCGGCAGCCTTGGAGGGGTCTTGCTTGTACGAACTTTCGGAGCTGGCAGCTATCGGAGCTCGAGGCCGGTACAAGAACAAATGCTACGGCGACTTGATGGCAAAAGCCGAGCCGATGATCAGGCTTGCTGCTCCTTATCAGGTCAGGCTAAATTTTTCCAACCCACCTGGTGAGCACCTTCAGGAAATGATGCTGCCCCATGAGCTGTTCGCTACAATGTTCGAGTTTGAAAGGCCCAGCTTTGATGCCAACATTTCGGGCACGGCCGAGACGAGAGCTATGTTCTGGGAAAGAATGCGGACAGTGCCACACCCCTGCTGGCCTACTCATCCGGTCCAACACAGGGACCTGACTTTCGCGATACCGGTGTCGGTGCATGGAGATGAGGTTCCGATAAGCGGCATCGGAAAACAGTGGGCGAAAAAGATGCTGAATGTTTCCTGGTCAAGCCTCACTGGAAACAAAAGCACGAAAAGCAGCCAGTACTGGTCCTTCGCCTTGATCGAGAAGACTGGCATTGCACAGGGACCCCGAAAGACGGTGACGATGATGTGGAAGATACTGGCATGGTCGCTTCGTGCATTATGGTCTGGGTACTGGCCCACGACGGACTATGAGGGCAGGGAGCGACGAGTTGGCATGAAGATGGGACCCTTTAGGGATTATTTGGGGTCTCGTGTGCTTCAGGATCGGAACCGACTAACACTAACATTTTTCTTTCTCAATGTCTTAGTCCTGATTTTTATCATGATGACGGTGACGGTGCTGCTCGGTCATTTTTTGGCGCAATTGGGTCGTCATAGTACTACAATGCTAGCAGCAGTAGTAGTAGTAGTAGTAGTAGTAGTAGTAGTAGTAGTAGTAGTAGTAGTAGTAGTAGTAGTAGTAGTACGCGCTGGTTACGTACGC